AAGTCGGAAAGAAACACTGGTAAATCAGCGGATGTGTCTACTTCTCAAAAAGTTCCCTAATGGGACACATATCAATGAGACAAATGGTCCTAGAGCCTTTCCCACCACCTTTCTTCAAAAACAGCCCCTCAGACAGCTGCGACTTCTCTGAAGAACTTACCACACAGAACTGTGAGGTGTTTTGAAGACTTTCAGTTCCTCGTCTCAGAACCACACCATAGCAAGTATCTAAGATTAATGAACAACTTTTATAGTTAGATTGCCCATATAGAACTGCAATAGAGTTGAGAAAGAGCCTCTTGGGTATTTTTATTAAGAAATAACTTCCTGTTAGGTTTGGGTATGGTGTAACCTAAAGAAAGATCTTGAAGCCATAAGAGACAAGCATTCAACTCCTGATTATGGCATGTATTTACTAGAATCATACATTGGTTATTTACTGAGTATCTATGTGTAAGGAACTATACTTGGCTCTACAAATAACGCAGAACAATGATATAGAGTTCCTGTCCTCATGGAGCTTGCACTTTAGCATGAATAATAGATATTAAAGAACTAATCACATAATTTCTTCTGCTTATTGAGACAGTGTGTGATTAGTGCCTAAGAGGAAAACAAACCTAGGGGGTTAGGAAGGCTTCCCTGAAGTAGTAACAACTGTGATGAGATCTGAAGAACAAGTAGTGGTCCGTTAGGCAAAGAGGAGGAATGAGACCATTCTGGGTGGCAGGAACAGGATATATAAAACCTGAGAAGGTGAAAAACAGCATTGGGTATTGGAGGAAATGTAAATGAAGATAATACAAAGTATTTCACAGGGAAATCATGAGGACAAAGTAAGATAACGTTGTGTGGAGTGACTCAGCAGTGTCTGACGTGCAGTAAATGTTAAACGTCTTCCTTTCAGCCCAAGGCCTAATGACCAGAATGAAAGGGATCTGGAGTTTACTGTCCAGCAGGATTAATGAGGACTTTCCTAAAAGGGTTGGACTCCATCACTGCTTTACAGGATATCACCCATGTGGCTGCCTTCTTATGTAGCTATACCTAGATTTAGAGTTTGGGTCTCAGAAGCATCCCACAAACCCATCAGTCCTTCCAGGGTACTAATGGGAGATTCAAGCATAAACAGTAAGTCAGTTGCTCAGAATGAAATTTCTATCTTGCTTGTTTTCTATTCCATTCTATAAAAACAAATGATCGTAAATTCCTTGGGACTAAGAAAAGGAATTATGTAGCTAAAGGGCCACTTGCATTTGTCATTATCTATCACTAGGGCTGAAATGTTGGTTACTACTAACTAGGCCTCAGACTGCTAAGGTCAGAAGGTCCCTCAGAGATCGTTCTAGGCCAGCCTCCTTTCACACTAGAGCTAGCCATTGACAACTTAAGGATTACAACAAATACATTTATGACGTATTCCCCAAAACAAAAAATGCATTTGAGAGATCATCCCACCGGTATAAAATAGTTTGCCCAAGGTAAGTGGCATCAGTAAGTGATAGAATAGAAATTTAAAACCAAGCCTGTCTTACCTCAAAAACCTTTCCCCACAATAATAAACCACCTTCCTCATTTCACTACTGACATGGTTAGGGGCAAACGCCATCTGTGGAACATAATCTTGACTCCTTTGCATTATCCTATATAATCAATGTTGTTAAGGCTGCAGAAACAGAATATACGCTCTCGTGGGCATGCGGGGTATTTCTCTTTGGTTTTTCAGTGTAGCACCCTCCCAAACCATCCCTTACCCCTCAGCCACATGCCCCTCGCTCTTGCAGTTCTAATCGTACTCCTGATTATTGCTGAAAAATGAAGCCAGAATTTTTTCACTATCACTTGCTTCTTCTGCCGCTCTGGACACAGCAATTTACGCCCCTCTCCCAAAAGCCTCATCTCATTATACCATTGGCTCGAAGTCCAGGGTCTCGTTATCTTCACCAGGTCTACATGTGGATGAGGATCCTCGGGGACAGCTCCTCTCAGTGTGGACACCTATAACTAAGGAAATAAGTTACTCATTTCCCTCCCCAAACACAATATATGAGAAAGAAATAGAAAAAGTGTAGCAGAACTCCCATTCAGAAATGAGGGGGCAGGTACCGTAGATATATAACAATCACTGGCCCATAACATAAAATTATGGTTGGGAACTATGCAAACGATTGCCTCTGCAATGTCCCAAAGCACCAATGTCATTGGTGAGCACTCGCTGCGTGTATTACATTCTATTTACCAACTAAGATAGACATTAGGCCATTTTTCTAAAAGGCACAGAATCAACTACCCTCATGGATTCTAAAGAGAAGCATCTAACATATTACGCCATCAAACCATGTCTGCAGAGGCTAGAGAAAGCGCCTAAGGGGAAGGAATATTACATAGCTTCATGGCATAAACTTTAGTCATTTTGCTTATAAATTAGTAAAACCAGGCTATGGTTAAATCAGTTCTTCACTGTGATCACGTTAAAATTAAACTTTCAAAAGCAACAGTTTCATACTCTGCTCTGCCCCTTACATGACAGAAAAGCAATCAAGTAGAATTTAATCTTCTAAAAGCTCCAACAGCTGGGATTATTTTAGTAATATTTACTCAATTGCTGAGCCATACCTAATTTTCTTTAGGTCAACATTTCAATTAGTCTTTATTTTTTTTAAAAAAAATCAATGAGTTGACTCAATTTCCACCACCTACATCCTGATCCCTTAACACTTTAGATTGGCAGCACCTGACACTTCGATTTCATTTTAGTTAGTACCTCACTAAACATTCATAGTTTAACTGAACAAGTCAAAATATGGAAAAGCAATTCCAAAACTGTTCTGATCCCGCTACCTCCAGTCCCTGGGGATCCATGGTCTAGCTCATGCGTTCTCAACTGGGGGGGATTTTACCCCACAGCGCACCTTTGGCAATGTCTGGAGACATTTTTAGTTGTCACAACTGGGGGGTCTATTGGCATCTAGTGGGTACAGGACACAGATGCTGCCAATAATCACCCTACAATGCACAGGAAACCCCATGACAAAGAATTATTTGTCAATAGTGCCACTTTTGAGAAACCCTAGAGACTTCCATTATTTTCTGGATAGTTGATACGATATAAAACATACTTCAAACACCATTCACAAAATACCATCAGAATCTATTTAGTCATTCGTTCAATAAATATCTATTGAGTAATCACTAAGTGGCAGACATTGTGAAGATAGAAAGAAAGAAAATCACCATCCTTAGAAATCGTCCACTGGGGACAATCAACTTACAAATTCTTAACGAGAGAATTCACTACTGTATGTTAGCTACTTTTATTAAGAGCCTAGTTGTGAGAAGTGATGGGTGAAATTGTGAGAAGTGATGGGTGAAAAGTTACTTGAAGGCTATCCAGTCTATCTACATATCTAGGCAATACATGTCCTTGCATTAAGCTGGATGATATTTGGGTCGTGTTATCTTAAGTCTTTGAAGAAATCCCTTCAATCAGCTCCATGTTAAAGTTATGCTCTGTGTTCATTGAAGAACATCTAAGAAAAGTCATGTGAAATCCATTATGAACTTCTCACAGAAATTGTATATGTATCAAAACTACAAGTAAATTTCTTTTAGAAGTTAGAATTGAAATGTTTCTTCCTCTCTGATGACAACTATATAACTATTTCTCTTCACTCTGACTGCAGATCACTTATGGAGCTAAATCTGAGGCTCGGCTGAAACAATTGTGTAGGCCTTTACAGCCTGAACACTTGTGTTCTTCCCCATTCCTAACCCAGCTGGTCTTAACTGGTATTTTCGTTTTCCCCTTCTGGATTCTCTAGTTATTTATACTTTACCATAATTTTATTAAGTCTGTTCTTCCCATATGTTGTCTCAATTAATGTATAAAATGTGGTCTGGTATGAATAAAATTAAAATGAGGCAGAGTGACAGGAAAACAATTACAACGGTACCGCTAGACATATGTGTGTACTGGCTGCTTTCACAGATTGAAGGAGACCCTTAACGAAGGCAGCGAGGGTCACAGAAACTTCCCGAAAGAGCTCGTGACTAAGTTGAACACTGAAAGATAGACTAGATGTTACTTAAATAAAGCTTCGAGGGTGAGGAAATGTTTTCGGCAAGAAATAAAAGCAGGTGCCAAAAGCACAGAGGTGAGGCAGAATCTGGTGCATTCAGGAAACTGAAAGTGATTTCCTTTCACCAGAAGGGAGGGTGTTTCGGGAAGTGGCGAGACATGACACTGAAGACTTTGAACTCTGGCCTAAGAAGCATAATAAGAAAGGTAAGAGCAGTCAGGAATTAACCGCAATAATCCAGGGAAAAGATGACACCCACAAATGATGACTCCATCAGATCCACACAATTCAGGCATCTTTAATTAGTAAAACACCCTAAAACTGATTAGAGAAGAATCCAAATCCTTCCCTCACCCCCATTCCCAACCCCTCACCAACATTAACTTTTACAACATCTCCTGGAAAAATGGGGTCACTCACCAACAGGCATGAGAGGAATAAGTTAATGGCGTTTAGACAAAAACACGAGAATCCTGATTCCTAGATTTCCCATTCTCCTTTTCATTTGACATTATCTGGACTTACAAGCAGCTCCAATGAGAAAAACTAAAGGACTCTGATAGCTATTCATCTCATTCCGGACAGGCAGCAAGACTCTTACGATTTTATGTCTCCAATTGTACCAATTACAGTTTCTAATACAGAAACAAAACTGTTCAGTGTCTCAGTCCTCGCCTCGCTTTGTTTCACGGAGATCTGCATTTCCAAGTTCCCAGGCTCCAACAGCAGTTCCGTTAGGAACAGACAGCCGGCAGCGTCCTGCGCACTGAGGTAGGCTTTCCATGGCTGAGCCCCAGCCTTGCTCACCGCGATGGTCTGGATGTTCACCACCTGCAGGGCCACCTGGAGGGTGTCAGGATGGACTACTCCCTGCCAAGGGCACACCTGCTGATGAGCGACTTTGAGGCTAAGCCACGTTTTCTCAAAAGACTCAGGAGTCATCTGGTGACTGGGCACTAGCATGAGGGCTCCAGAGTCAGGGAGTGCTTGTACCCTCTCCTTGTTCTCTTCAGGAATCAGGGGTCCTGAAAGAGTCAGAAAGCTTGTGTAAGAGATGTGCTTCACCTATAGGAACCACATGTTTTACCCAGATTTCCCAAAGTACACAATGTAACTTTTCTCTTTGGATAAATGACTTAAATAGCCAGTAAGGAACTTCTTTCTTGCTCATAAAACTTCAAATTCAGGTAATAGTCTGAGATTTAGCTAGGGTACTCTACCACTAGGCATTGCAAAAGATAACAATTTTTCACGACAAGATATAGAGTAAGGACTACTTTGACCTGATGTGGCGAAGGATGCAGTCTTAGGAAAAAAAAACGCTCTGCCCCTGGAGTTTAGAGATGGTTGCCCAGCGGGCTTTGCCATATACTGGCACCAGCGTGTTGAAGTCTGAGGCCCAGCTATTCACAGGTCTTTCTGCCTGATCCTCCAAGAGTCGAAGAGAAGTGTCAGATTTAGGGCTACATAGGATCCGCTTAACCTCATCAACGCCAGCTAGGAGGAGACGATAATAGAAGAGACCTCGGTCCCGTACTGCCATATCCTTTTCTTCCTCTGAGGTAAGACAACAGATGAATTAATTTAAAATGAAAACACTCTCCTCCTACCCCTGTGACAACCAAAATAGGAGAAAAAAATAAAGGAGGCAGGAGGCCCAAGAAAACATCGACATCTTCTTCTTGAGCCCCAGACCCAGAAGAGAAGAAAAGGATGGAGGGAAGAAACCCTACCAAACATTAGCATTTTCTTCTTGGATCTCAGATGGGACTCATCAAACAATGAAAGCTGCGGGAATTTTTACTATTGGTCCTGGCAAGTACTATTTCTTTCTGGAGAACCCACCTATGCAGTAATGTAACAGACGCCCCAGCGTGTCCTGGCACTCGGCAGGTCGTGAGAGGAAAAGGCGCAGCAGGGCAGTGAGCAGCTCCATTTTAACAGCCGGAAATGTCTCTGACTTCACATTCTCTACAAAGTCTTCCAACACATAAGGAGCATTGGGAATTCTTTCCCCATGGACCCCGAGTAGCCAAATAAGTGCCTGCTTCCCCTGGGGAAGGAAGGAATAACAACAGGTGCTCAATATTTGTCTGTCCAAAACAGCAGGCAGTACACAGCTGCAGGTTCTGCTTTTCTCCTCACGTCAGCAGAAAAGGTATAATCTTTTATTTATTTCAACTTGCGCTGTGTCGATCCCACCTACTACATTCTCTACAACTAATAGGAATGAAATTGCACCACACAAGACTCTCGTGGCCTATGCTGATAAAGCAATAGGCTTCCTCAGCTATGGGGTCTCTACCCCAATTTGGGGTTTAATGTTTCCGTGAAAGCTACAGAAAAATTATTCTAAATTACTTCATGAAAGTGGTGATTAACCTACAGTGCACATTTGTGAAGCTTCTTAAAAACACATGTGTCTCGGTCCACCACTCCTGAACATTTAAATCAGTAGATCTA